AGTACTACTACTAGTACTACTACTACTACTACTACTACTACTACAACTAGTACAACTAGTACTAGTACTAGTACTAGTACTAGTACTACTACTACTACTACTACTACTACTACTACCACTACCACCACTACTTCTTCTTCCCCACGCAGCAAAGACGAGTCTCTGCTAAGCGAACGAATGGCAGGTCGTCACCCCGGCGCCATAGGCGCAATCCTGCTTTCGAGGATTCCAGTCGGCTCACGTCCTCCGGCCCGAGGGCCCCTTTGAGCAAGGACTGATGAGCAAAATAAAGCAAAAGCAGTCTCTGGTGGCACAGTCAACCCTCGCTCAAACACTTAAGTCAAGCCTGAATTGAATTGGCACCACAACAGCTTGACTGGACTGCTGGTTGGCAGCTCGATCGGCTAATTATGGCATGGCAGTCATCTCCGGACAGTACTTGTATAAGAAGGCATAGCTGTTGCTCTGAACATGTGCAGTGAGGTTAGGTGGCAGGCGTTGGGCTGGGACAGCATCATTCGTAATAAAACTGCCGAGGTGTGGGTCATACAGGACCGTCCTGTCGTGCCCTGCCAGCAGCTCACCTCCCTCATGCAGGAGGGTGGCCACCCGACAGTACCTCCTGTACTGCAACTCCAGCGGCTCATGATGATTCAGATGGTGCTTGAAAGCTGGCAGCATAATATAAGGCTCTGGCTCAACCCTAAGGAAAACCTTAGATCCAACATTAGGGGGGCTTAGCTGGAACCGGCAAATCTGAATCAGGATCGCTGGGGGCTCAGAGGTCAGCGCTTGCAGGCCGACCTGGGCCGAACTCCACAGGTCAACTAGGGCTTGCAGGGAGAGTGGCTCGGCTTGCTGAGTCGCTAGCGCGGGCAAAGAGGCTGGTATCATCAGTGGCCAGGTATGGCCCTCATCGCCACTAAGGATGCCTTCGAGGCGAGACTGACGAGCCTCCCAGGCTCCGTAGCGGATGCGTGGACTGAGCCTGAGCCACGGGCGCAGAAAAGCGAAGTACTCAATTACATCATGCTGCCTGGAGGGCTCACGCCAGGCTGTGTGCAAAGTGAGCCATCTGACGTTTTGCCACAATGCAACAGGACCTGTCTGAGCACGAAGCCATCTCAAAATCAGCATCAGAGCAGGCTCTAGGAGGGGCTTCTCATCTGGTGGGCCTGTGCAGAGCAGCCAGCTGAGCGCAAGCACAGCAGAATTGCCATAGCAGTAATTGCAAGGATTGTCTGTGCGTAAGCGCCGTACATCTCGTCGATGATCTTCTGCACTGCCACGCCCAAGGCCGATCTCCCCATGCGGTCGCTGCGAAGAGAAACCGCCGTCACTCTGCAGGCAGCACTGTGGCTCGTTCCAAAGTTGGTGCCCTTCGGCTGTCCTTGAGCCGACCTGCAGTAGTAGAGGCACCACCTCCGACTTCATGTCCTGGCAGAGCTCCCTGGTTGCATGAAACCTCATGACCGTCACTGGCTGGATCACCAGGGTCTGCATGGCCTTCAGGAGCGCGAGGACCTGGGTGAGGGTCATGGGATCGCGGTCCCGCTTGATCTGTAGGGCCCGGGTGTTTCGATTCCATTCCAGGTGCGGAACATTGCATTGGTCGTCGAGAATCAGCATGTCCTTGGCCTGCTGGATGGTCTCCTCGCTGGTCATGATCATCTCGACCCTTGTGAGCATCAAGTCCACCCAGTGCTTCAGCAGCCACGCCCGGAGGGGCAGGCTGAGGAGGGCAGGGGTCTCCTTCTTCATGGTTTTCCATGCTTCCGCCGCGACATAGAGCTCCGGGACCATCAACAGCATGCCCTGGCATTGGGCGAACATTACGTAATTGTCCTGGGAACGATAGATGCCAAACTGGTCCTCGTGGCGCAGGAGCAACTTGCCCATGCTCAGGCAAAGGTTCAGGATGGCCTTGTCCTTGTCGCGATCCCTGTCCGAGTCGCTCCTCCAGTTGCGATCCGAGCGTTCTTGGCGGCTCGGCCAGTCCCTGCTTCCCCAGGCACGATCCTGAGCTCCGCGACGGCGATTCGAGGCCTGAGAGCTGTGATCCCGCTGCCAGCCATCGTGGGATGTCCTGGCATTTCCTTTGGCGGAGGGCTTGGGCCACTTCTCCTGGTGGCCATTGCCCGCCCGCCGGGTTGGCGCTCTCCGCTGCTCGCTTGTCTCTCTGGGCGTCCATGGGCTCCGGCTCTGATTCCGGTACCGGCACAGCTCTCGCTTCTTTCGGTGCTGCAGCTGGTGTGCTCGGTCCAGTGCTGCCCTGGCCTGGATCGCATCCTGAATCTCCTGGTGGCGGGCGTCCTTCATGTGTGCCTCCATGACCTAGAGTGCAGGCGCCCGTGTGAACGGTAGCTGGAGTGCAAACTTCCTCAGGCACAGTGTAAGAAGCGCGCAGTCGGATGAGGAGGCCTGTGCGGTACAGCACCGGACATTCACGTGCATGTCTGGGACGGCTGCACTTGCGCACCTTAAAGTCCGTGCCACAGAACTGGCAGGGGCAGAGGATGGAAGTCGTACGACCCTCGAGCCACTTGAGCACCGCGCTGTGAAAAACAAAAGCTTCAGCATGCTGTGCTTTGACATGTCGTGACAGATAGCCTGGATGGGCAAGCCACTGACCGCAAAGTGTGCAGTGATGATAATCTGTTCTTGATCAACTGTGCAAGAAGTTTCCAGTCACCTGCAATGGCGGCGTCACAGATATGCCCAGGCAAGTGGGGATATCGGCGGGTGATGCTCGCTGCTACACCTAGAGGAGAATCATTACTCGCATTCAGGGAGGGCTGAGGAGTAGGTGGCATGTCATTACTGCAAGGATTAGGGTCATCTGATGTGGGAGCTGGTTCAGGGTGAGAGCTTTCATCACTTCGCGTGGAAAACAGTGGCACCGACACATCAACAGGAGTAGCGTCAGGCTCAGGAGCGCCAAAGACCAGTGTAGGTTCCAGAGCTGGAGGAACGTTTGCGTGTTCAGCCGGGTCATGGGTCCTAGATGTGGAATGTAGGGTTTCTGTCTGGCTTTCATGGCGAGCCGAGCCCGAGTTCAATCTCGAGGTCATGCCCTGGTGAAGTACTGGGCAACGTGCACGTTCAAAGTGCATGCAAAACGAGGGCCAGCTTGTGAAGGCCCAGGAGCAGTGCCGGCATGTGGGTAAGCCTGATTGACTATGCTGCATAAAGTCACGTCTCATCTCGGATTGCTTTCTGCGCGTTGGTTGCAATGTGGATTCGTTGCTGGGAGGTGAAGGCTTGTTTTTAAGAGCCATGTGGATACGCAGGATGCGGATTGTGGGAAAATAGAAACCACATGTGGGGCATGGCACAGGCTTCACAGGGTGCGCAAGGGCCACTAGACGAGTGGGCACGCTCATCGGGCGATGATGCTGCAGCTGTTGGGGGTCAGTGTTCGCCGTCCGTAAGTTATCTTCCAACGGCTGCCACCAGTGGTGTACTTGCTTAGGCTGGAGGAGTGCCATGTGGCCCTCACGACAGCGTGTCAGGCGGCGCTGCACTCTGAGACGCAGGGTCTCACTTGGATCGTCAACTCGGAGTCTGGTCAGCAGAGCCGCAGGGTCTTCATGTGTGATGTGAGAGGGGGCCTTGCTAACAAGCCTCAGTTGGCGTACAACATGCTTGTACAGTAAAGTCGATCCTCCTGGGGCCAATCCAACACTGTCCAGTCCATGCATCAATGTAGAGAGGACGCAGCTCTGCCAGACCGAGACCCGACGCTGCAGCGCGACACTATTCGAGCGAAGGGCTGGCAGAATGCGGTGAAAAGAACTCCAGGACTGGCGTATGCGCTCTTTGAGGGTGAGGGCTTCCATGGATTGATAGCTAAGAACAGCGCCTAGATACGGGTGATGGGAGACCACAGGCAAGCGAACAAGCCCATTAGAGGTGGGGCAGTGAAGGTGTTTACCTTTGCGGTGATCTCTGAAAACATGCTTGCGTAGTGCCGATCCTGCTTTGGAACCACGGAGCCCAATGAGCACCGCGGATTTGCCCGGGCTGGTGGCCATGCCAAAAGATTCCAGGGTTTCCAGGACAAAGGTGATATGCTTAAGGGCCTGTTCGAGCTGATCAACTCCATCAACCAACCAATGGAACAGAAAGTCATCGGCGAAAACTGTGGAGTCAGCCATGTCTACCTGCTTTCTAATGTAGGTAAGTATGAGGCCTGTGTATAGAACCCACAAGGAAGGAGCTAAACAGCATCCCTGACGCACTCCATTAGCTGTATCAAGCGAGGCTACCTGATTACCATGCGTCATCCTAAAGCAGGCATGTGCATGAAGCTGCAATATGACGTGCTGAGCGGCTGGGTCCACGTGGGCCAAGGCCATGGCCTCTTTCAGCCTTGATCGCGGCATTACGTCGAACGCTTGTCGTAGGTCGATGGACAGTAAGACTCCGCCCTTGCAGTCTGCCGGTCGGTGCCCCTGTCGACGTAGGTGGATGTTTTGTCTCTGTGCCCGGAGCACCGCCCTGACTCGGGCGCAGTGGGCGGATGCCCTGTCAAGCGCATCTTGCACAGAGCGGTCCTCGAGATATGCCATTTGCGGCAGATCTCCCACTAGATGCCACAGCTGGGGCTTAATGTGATTATTGAGGATGATTGAGAGGGCTTTCGAAATGGGGTGGATCAAGGAGATGGGTCGGAGGGCTTCGGGGCCTGTTGGTTTAGAGGGCTTCGGGATCAATCATAGATCTGCCACATGCCATTCCTCCGGCGGAGGGACACTCATATCTGCCAGCCAGTCATTGAGCATGGGGAGATATTTGTCCGTGAGGATGTCCGCTGCTATACACCAAAGTCTAGAGTCTAGAGGGTGCAACGCCGGGTGGCAAGGCTTTGTTGCGAGGCAGACTGGCGAGGGCAGAATGGAGTTGTGCCCAGCTGACTTGAAAAGGTGGGCCAGGGCTTTCCGACGATATGGGCTGATGTCTGTGATACAGATCCTGATAATAGTCGGTGATAGTCCGAACCGTGGAGGCGATGTCCAATGGCATACCGTTTGGGGCCTTTAGCTGGAGTTTGCGTCTAGGCTGTTTGGGGGCGAACAGACTCAGCACTCTGAAGATACCTATGTATCCCGTGCAGGCCACAGCTTCTTGCAATCGTCGGGAAAGCCTCTGGCGTCGGAGCCGTTGACAGTGTCTCCTGAGCTCCCGCTGGTGTCGTTGCAGAGCGCTGAGCTCTTTCCAGCGACGTACAAAGTCTTGAAGAGTAATGCACGGTAGGAGTCTGCTACGCTTTACAACAGCTCGAAGGCGCCACAGCTCCGTAACGGATTGACAGCGGTGCTCCGGCGTGGCTGGACGTCTCAGATCCGGCAGGTGCCGTGTGGCTTGAGACCACGCAGTGCGAAACAAAGAGTCGGCATGCAGGTGGGGCTGGGCCAGCATGGCCCGCTGAAGCTCAACACGGAAGGCAGACTCTACTTCGGGATGTTGCTCACAAACTTGCTGCACCTTGTGTCTCTGCAACTTGGGTTGGGGCTGAGGCTTAGTGGGCCGAGTAGGGAAGGGGACACTACCTAGCAGAGGCAAGTGGCGCATTCCTGTGACCGGAACAAAGGGTAGGGTCTTAGGGGCAACCGTGCGGGATACTGGGTCAGCCTGGCCACGTCGTGCAATCGCAAAGTCGATTTGGCGGTGACCCGAGGGGCCGGCCGGCAGAAACGTGCACGACCGCTTGCCCTGTGGACCCCACGTGTTTAAGGCTATCAGGTCATGGGTCCTTATGATGTCTTGCATAGTAGAGGAGTCACCGGCGTGTCCCGTCTTACGTTGGTATGTGCCATGCCCTACCAATGAGCCCTCTGGAACCAAGTCAACATTCAAATCCCCAAGAATCAAAAGTTGATTACGGGTGGGCAGGGCAGCAATGAGTGTAGATAGTCGGGTCCACAGTTCTGCTCTCTTGGAGAGCACCTTGTCCCGGTGCTGTTCTCGGCTGGTGCCTTGGGGAGGGACCAGGCATGCTGATAACAGACTACCACATCAATGTTGGGGTTCGTCGTGGCTGGGTCAAGCTCTAGTCTGACATGTAGCAATCTACCGGGGATGACTTCGTTGTGTTGAATCTGAGCCATGGGAATTAGGGATTTAGATACAAGGAGCAATATGCCGCCTTCGGGTCGGGCTTCTCCACTGTGCAAGGCCGCGAAGCGATCTGTTGTATACTCAAGGGGCCCTCGCCAATGCGTCTCTTGCACGGCAACCAGACCCACCTGCCTGCCCTCTGGCGTGTCAAGCCATGTGGCTAGCTCGCGATTGCGTTCAGTTGTAAGACTGCCTGCATTCCATGATAAGAAGTGAAGTCTGCTGGCTTCAGGCTTGGAGGGCGTGGTGGGCTTACGAGGTCTGGGCTCCTGAACAGTCACTCCGAGCTGTCTGGCACTGAGCCGCCTGCCCTGGTAAACAGTACTGCCATGTTGTGATGCTCTAGCACAGGCCCGGAGGAAAGCTCTTTTCCGGGCAGGTTTGGGATGCCTATTGCTGCAAAGAAAAACACCGTTGCGGTTTGCTACTCTGTCGTTATGTGATCGAACAGCATGTAGCGCTCCAGGGGGTTTCAGGTGTGAATTGCCCCCAACCCTCGTGTCTACAGGAGCTGGCATTGCAATAGCTCTGCATAGATGCTGATGAAAAAGAAGTACTCCAATCCTCCATGGGTTGGGGCTCGCCAGACTCCTGTTCCTGGACTTGGGACCAGGACGGCCACAATGCGGCTGTCGGGCTGTTGGCCAAGTTGACTGTGCGAAATCGGAAGCTGCGCAAAGAGACTGTACAAGAAGGCTCCTCACTGCTGTGGCCAGGTGGCCACTCAAAAGAGACAAAGAGGTCCTCGTTCGACAGCCTCCAGGTCGTAGAAAGCGACGTCGGGGGCGGCTGGATGGGCGGATTTTGTATTGCTTGAAGTGCTTGCAGAAGTCCACGCCTATGCAGTGACTGTGGCTAGGCCGCAGGTCCGCGGGAGCTAGACGACGGCATGTCGAGTCGTCTGTTCCTGTAGTCCTGAAACCATTGCTGGAATTCTCGTCGTCCATCGTCATCCAACAGTGGAAAAAGGGCCAGCAAGGTGGGGACGTAGAACAGGTCCAGGCTCCTGACATAGTCCACCATGTAATCGGCCATGTGATCCGCGCTGTCTGCATCCAGATGACGTGTGAGGCAGGACCTGAGCATTCGGTCCAAGTGTTGCAGACACACATGCTTCGGAGGGTCCTGGAAGGTCCCCACGGTAGCCAGCCACGATACATCATTCTCCGGGACTCCTCGATTCCACAAGTTTGCCAAGGCTGTATATGCCGTGTCCAAACGAGCCGCAGGCCCTTCCTCCAGATGCACGTAAACATATGCATAGAGGTCGCCAGGGTCCTGGTTGCCGCGGCTTCGTCTTTGTGCAGCATACTTGGCGGTGGAAACCCGCTTGTTGGGGTGGTTGCGTACGAGGTAGGCCGCCAGGAAAAAAAAGCACAGCTCTCGTAGCGCCATAGTGGCGTTTCGTTCCAGGAAAGCGGGATAGTCCGGGTATGCGTCGGGAAGCTGGATTGGAGGAAGCATCGGTTCGGCAGGAAGGGCACCCTCGTGTCTCGGTCCTGGGAGGACCGGGCCAGCTGGAGCAACATCAACCCTTGCCTCTGTGCCGTCGGGTGCTCCTCGGGGAGCCTCTGCATCCTCAGCAGGGTCAGGACCAGCAGGAAGGCCCATATCAGCATCATCGCCCGATGTCGAAAAAAAGAAATTGTCGCTATCATAGCTGTCAGACTTCGACGAGGAAGAACTCGGCAGTGACCGTGGCATGCCCCGGTTCGAAAGCCCCACAAGCAGGCAGCCACTCAAAAGAGAAAAGAGCAGAACCAGGTCAGTCAGCAACGAAAACCATGCACAGTCGCAAAGGCCCAGGAAATGAAAAACCGAATTCGGGCCGAGACACTTACTACTACTACTACTACTACCACTACTACTACTACTACTACTACTACGGTTGGCCACGGCGACAACGACGACGACGAAATCAGTTATAATCAGTTTGCACCGGAAGTTGCAGGTCCTGCAGCAAGACGCTAGAGAACCGAGTCGTTGCGGCCTGTCAACTCAACTGTGCCCGGAACACAGCGTCGTTGGCTTCAAGTCTTGCCCCTTACCAAATACGTAAAGAAAACAGAGTCCCCTTCACAGGCTGACAACGATACAGGGCTAATAACCTTTTCGTGATCGAACGCATTGCGAACTGGTACATGCAACATTTCTAGCCCTCATACACACCACGGCTGAGCCATCACAGAGGATGAAGGTCAAATGGACGAGTATTGACAGATGCGCCGCATATGGCAAGTTTTACAAGGCCTTATGGTAAATTAATCGTTGTATCATTGCTTGTTTTCGAGCTTTCAAGTTTTTAACATATTATGTTTGATTGTGTTGATGCACAGCAGGCGCCGCGTTCCCTCTGGAACATCGGAGGTTTTCATGTTGACACCAGATCACCCAACACAACAGTTCCCAGTGTCGCTTCGCGTTTTCAGGTGCTTGTCGAAGATCGTCACATGTGTAGTTTCAGAGACCATTGGTCAGGCCGTTCGGTTATGTGGACATTGAATTTGCTTGGCACGGAGCCTTGTTGGCCTGGCGGCCCAGGGTGCCTGCGTGTGTGTGAGCTTGTGTATGCTTGTGTGATTCGCACCCAAGCAGACATGGCGGCAAGACGACAGATGGTTGCGCAATGCAGGTTGGCGCTCAAGCTGGAGGATTGGGGAAGGCACTCTCCCCTACTGTTGGATGTTCAAGCTAATGCATCGAGTAGCCACGAACGCCGACATGCTGCGATTAGCTTCAGGTGCCTGGCTTTTATTTCCTGGCCCAGAACAGGGAAAATTTGGGCCGACTGCGGAAGGAATTGCGCTCGGCGGTGTCAGAGCCTGACATGACACATGCCGACAGATGTTTGGCAATGCAGCTGCTGTGAAATGGTGTAACATTTTCAGCTGGTTTTCCCGGCTAAGTTCTGTACCTCTTCAGGTCTCAAGCAATGCGAGCACCAAGATCACAGCTTGAGAGTCTGGCACTTTCTGGTTCCTGTACGTTCTGTGTCGAACGGTTAGGCCTCGTCGTGCTTGACACCTCGAGGTATGGCCCAAGCGGCTGTCCGCAATGTTCTTAGCCTGTGCCAGAGCTGAATAAGCGCAACGTCCGTGTGAACAGAGGTTGTAGCTTTCCCTTGGAGCACTGGCAGCGGCGGTTGGCAGCGGCGTATGGGGCCGTGACAGAAGCGACCAGACTGCAAGGATTTGTGCGACAGGCTGTGCTTGACGTGTTTGGAAACGCATGTCGGTGGTTCTTTGAGCAAATTCTTGGTGTGGCTGACGGCACGAACAAGTGAGCAGAGCGCACATAGCCTCGAGCATAT